ATAAATAAGGCAAGTAATTTTGAGCCCTGAAATTTTCTGGACAACCAGGTGTGATAATCTCAACAAATTTAGACCAACTGGGACAATATTAACACAGACCTATCACACCAGAGGACATTGGCCAATGTCTGGAAACATGTATTTGTCACAAAAGGGATAACTGGTGTTATTGGTCTTTAGGGAGTAGAGGCTAGGGATGCTGCTAAACATCCTATACACATAAGATATCCCCCACAACAGTGAAGTGTCACATTCAAAATGTCAATAATGTGACTGTTGAGAAATCCATACCCAAATAAATCAAGGGCTAATTTGTATGGGCCTGTTGTTTATAAACCCATTAAAAGGTAGAAAATGTCTACCTTAAATGATAACTCAGTTTTAGAAAAAATTAAATGCCAAGTATAAACAAGTCTATCCTGAAGTCATAAAATAAAAAACCATATTATCTGCATATATAAAAAGGTATATCTTCCTGGGTTTTTGTTTTGTTTTGTTGTCCCTCCCCTTCCGCCCCTGTTCTTTATAAAAGGGAAACTTAAAGGAAGTACATCTTCCTTTAAGTCTTTAAGATATGAAGTTAAAGGAAATGAGATATCCCCAGATTTAAAGACAAGTCAAAAGAAAAATGGGCAAATAACTCAATAATCATTTCACTAAAAAGGATATTCAAACAGTCAATAAACACATAAAAAAGTATTCAACACCATTAGTAACCACAGAAATGCCGTTGAAACGGAATAAGAATATCACACATGCACCAAAATAGCTAAAATTATAAGAACTGAAAATATCGAATACAAACAAAAATATTAGAGTTGGTGCAAATGGTTAACGCTGCTCTGCTTTTAAACACAGACTGGAGGTTCAAGTCCACTCAAAGACCTCAGAAGAATGGATACATTGGATTGTGTAAGATACCAGGGGGGGAAAAAGGAACAACAATAATAATAATATTTAATATAATAACAAGGGCTCTTGGGTGGTATGGTGGGAGAGGGCGGGGACAAAAGGGAACTGATACCATAGAGTTCAAGAAGAAAGAAAATGTTTTAAAAAGGATGGTGGCAATAATTGTACAATCATGCTTGATGTGATTGAACTATGGATTGTGATATTATCTGTAGAGCTCCCAATAAAACAGAAAAAAAACTCAGCCACTAAAAAGATGCTACATGAGTTTACCTTGTGAAAACTCAACAAGCTACACACACTTAGACAGATCTTACTACGCTTGTCTTTAGGTTATATCTTATTTATTTCCTGACCTCCTAAAGCATAGTTTTCTGGGGAAGCAGAGATTTATAAAAGATGCATACTGACAGTTTTATAATACAAACTGTGACAAGTGCTCTGGTAGAAAGGTAAACAGCAAGATCATAATATATAATAGGAAAATCAATCTAATCTAGTGGAAAGTTCAAGGTTGGTGCTCCCAAGCAAGTGCCATTTAAGCTGAGACATAAAGAAAGAGTAGAATTACAAATTGAAGATGGAACTTTGCTCAAGAGAGATTCACACAAGCAAAGGTTCTATAACACAGAAGAAAGCATGACCCTTGGAAGGAATCGAAGGAAGACCAAAAGCCCAAAGGACTGAGGTCCAACACACTGCAAACAACACTACCAAACCCCTATCCAACCTCTTATTTTCTTCCCTTTCTTTATTGCTAATAGGATTCCACTTTAGTTCCCGCATGGACCTTCTTCCACAAAGGCGTGGGCAGATTCCATCCTTGATATTAGCAAGTAAATCTGGTTATACTTAAACCAAACATGGTAACTGCTTCCTCTCTGCCAGTGTTACTTAAAGAATGGCATGAATGAATGCAGGAAGAGAAGTTATTATATGCTTTAAACAAGAAATGATGCAAGTTGGACTAAACCCCAAACCAAACCAAACCCTGCCATCTGCCATCTACTCATTTCTGACTACAGTGCCCCTACAGGACAGAGTAAAACTGCTCCATAGGGTTTCCAAGACTGTGTGCCTCTTTATGGCAACACACAGCCTCATCATTTTTCATGGAACTGCAGGTGGGCCTAAACATATCAGCCCTGCAGTTAGCAGTCAGGTGCTTAACCCACTGTACTACCAGGGGTCCTTTAGTATGGACCCGAGAGCTATTAATGGAGATGAAGATTTGTATGGAAAAATAAGGAAGAACAGTGTGTCTAGAATATCTCCCTTTCCATACAATCAAAGGGGAAAGAAAACTATCCATAACAGTATTTTATTCGCAATATATTTCTTCTTAACTAAATCTATTTAGAAATATTAAGGATGATCATTGAAACCCATCTGACCTCCATCTAAGATATTGACCTCAAAAAATCAGGCAAACTTTATCAAGAATAAGTGAATGAAGATAATTAGATTTTGTCTTAAAATAAATTTATATGATTCTAGTGTTTTTTTATTCTAACATTTAACTAATAATACTGGCTACATATAATACTAATTTCTAAGTATCATTTAGTTTGCTTTGATCTCTTTAAAAATTAGTTAAGCCAGCAAAATATCCAAATAACTCCAAACTAGAGCTAAAACAGCCCTTTAAGGGTTTCTGACCACACTGGGTATTGTTAAAATAATTCCAGAAATAAAATAAAATAATTCCACACAATAAAATAGTTGTCAAAATAATTCCAGAACTAACCAAATCCCTAAATTTGGTCTCTTAACAGCAATAATTAAGGTGCTTAGGAGAGATACCAACAGACTCAAGTAAAATATAGTTACCTTGACAAGGTGAAGTGACACATCTCACAGAAGATGGTGGTGTACTTGGATTACTGAAATGGTGTGACGTTCCTTGGCTCGTGCTGTCGTTGTTAGTAAAACTCTTTGTATGGCATGTACAACCACATGACGGTGGTACTTCAGCCTTTTTACTTAAGCCCTCATCCACCGACTTCCCTAAAAAATAAAAGCACCTGGATTTATAATACCTCTAATTTGTACGAGCCCATGTCTGCCTGTAGCTCTGATGAAAACCATCCTGATTTGTCCAAAACTGAGGGTTTCCCAAGCATGCGGGTCTTTCAATGCTAAATCCAAGACAGTCCCTTGTAAAGCACCAAATTAGGATCAGAGAGAAACATTTTTGCCAGAAACTTTTAGAGAAATTATCATAAATTTTATATCAATAATGATGTGTACAAAGTTTATAATTTATCAACTTATTAAATCTATAAAAATATAATAGCTCAAGATTAATAATGCAATTAAAATACAACTGGAGCATTCATTTATATTGAGATCTATGTAAAAATCAAGTAGAAGGATTAAAACAAAGACCTAAACAGTATTCATAATCACTAATATTTCCCTACAAGAACTTGAAAATTCAGTAAATGAGATAATGTAACTAATAGCCTATTTCTTACATTATACCTTATTTTTATACATTTTTTACAAATGACTTTTTTTAATTTAGAAGAAATAGATGTTTAACATAAATTCTTAGTGTACAAGTCATTGTTTTTGACTTTGCTATTAATGATAGAAAATTATCTTCCTTAGAAAACCTTTTGATCCCTTTTTCATTGATTCTTTTTCATCATTATGTAATTATTCTGTGGGGCTTTTTTGAGACAAGTCTATTTTTTATTAGATAACAGATTTATATAGAAGAAAGATAAATCATTATCTTGAGAATTATGAAGTATTTTCTTTTTAGAGTTCTGCAAGAAACTTGTTGTGGTCTCAAAACTCATGGGACATTCTGTGCAAACAACGGCACACATCATTACCTTAAAAGGAAGTGACAGTGAAAATATTTGAGGTGCATTGAGAAGTAATCAGTAATAACTGACTCCCCCCACCCCACTCCTTTGCAACCAATGTTGGGTAAAGGATCCAATATAGAAACATTTTTCCAGCAATTGGTGACAATGCTGCTTCTCCAGTATGGCTTTAAGAGTCTACATGGGATGGCAAACCTACTCTCTCTTTGCAAATAGTAAGTCTGTCGCAAGTAGTTCATTACTGCAATGCCCTCTATTCAGTTTTCTTTCTGTCTAGGTTATTTTGAAATTCTGAGTACTTCTGGCTAGAGATATTTCCTATCTCTATATTCTTCACCTTCTCTAATACATTGTTACAAATTTCTGCTTGAAATGCTGGATTTTAATTTTCTTGGGTTCATATCTGGGGATATTTGTTACCATGACAAAATAAGATGTATGTTTGGTTTCTGTTTCTTTGTTGACTTGATCGACTGGTCCATTTCACCTGCGAATTTTATCTTCTTGGTAATTTCTGTGTGGATAGTTTTAAGGCTGTGGCTCTTTTGTACCCTTCCAGGCCTCTGCTCATGGGAGTCAGACTACAGGCAGATGATTTTATTCAGATCATATCAATGATTAGTTGTGCTCCAAAATTGAGGGGTTTGTTTCTCTGAGATGTTCAGGTTGCTGGATACTTTAAAATTAGATCTGGCCTCCAGAAGTCGTGATGAAGCTTAAGTGAGAAAGGTGAACTGACATGTCTCCGAATAAGAATATTCTTTCCAACCTGAAGAGCTATTTGGCCTGTAAAGAGAACAGATGGATCCTGGAAGATAACAGTGGATTATCGTAAACTTAACCAGGTGGTGACTCCAACTGCAGCTGCCATTCCACATGTGATTACATCGCTTGAGCAAATTAATACTTCTCCTGGTACTTGGTATGCAGTTATTGATCTGGCCAATGCCTTCTTCTCAATACCAGTCTCGAAGGACCACCAGAAGTTTGCCTTCAGCTGGCAAGGTCAACAATACACTTTCACAACTCTCTTCCAGGGGTACACCAACTCTTTCGCCCTGTGCCATAATTTAGTCAGAAGGGACCTTGATCGCCTGTCTATTCCACAAAATGTCACACTAGTCCATTATATTGATGACATTATGCTGATCGGACCCACTAAGGACGATGTATCGAAAACTCTAGATTCATTGGTACAACATCTGCGTATAAGAGGTTGGGAAATTAACCCAATGAAGATTCAGCCACCCTCAACCTCAATAAAATGTCTAGGGGTCCAATGGTGTGGGGCATGTGGAGACATTTCTACTAAAGTGAAGAAGAATAAGTTATTGCATCTGGCCTTCCCCCCACCCCCCTGCAACTAAACAGGAGCACCACGCCTAGTGGGCCTCTTCAGATTTTGGAGGCAACGTATCCCTCACTTGTGTGCTCTACTTTGACCTATTTATCAAGTGACACGAAAGGCCTCTAATTTTGAGTGGGGCCCAAAACAAGAAAAGGTTCTGTAACAGGTTTGGGATGCCGTGCAAGCTGCTTTGCCACTGGGACCATATGATCCACCTGATCCAATGGTGCTAGAGGTGTCAGTTGTAGATAAAGATGCAGTGTGCAGTCTTTGGCAGACCCCTATTGGTGAATCACAGCGCAGACTGTAGGGATTTTGGAGTAAAGTCCTGCCATCCTCTGCAGACAACTACTCCCCTTTGAAAAACAACTGTTGGCCTGTTATTGGACCTTGGTGGAGACTGAACGCCTCATCATGGGCCACCAAGTCACCATGAGGCCTGAACTACCCATCATGAAGTGAGTATTGTCTGACCCAGAGTCATAAATTTGGAGGTGTGCAGCAACACTCCATTGTTAAATGGAAGTGGTATATACTAGATCAGGACAAAGCCGGACCTGAAGGGACAAGTAAGCTCCATGAAGAAGTGGCCCAAATACCCAGTCTCCACTCCTGTCACATTACCTTCCTTCTCCCAGTCTGCACCTATGTCCTCCTGGGGAGTCCCTTACCATACCTCAACTGAAGAACAAAAAAGTCATGCTTGGTTTACGGATGGCTCTGCATGATATGCAGGTGCCACTTGTAAGTGGACAGCAGCAACGTGACAGCCCTTTCTGGGATCTCCCTAAAAGACAGTGGTGAAGGAAAACCTTCCAACGGGCAGAACATGGGACAATGCACCTGGCCGTTCAGTTTGCCAGGTACAAAATAAAATTTCTGATTTTTATTCCCAGAAGTTCCTTCAACTCATGAAATGGGAATTTTATTTCCACAGCTTTTTTATAGTCTTCTATTCCAATGGATATCTCCAATATGCTGTAGCATGCTTAGCCCCTTTCTGAATTGAACACCATTAGTTTTGTTTCATTGTTTCTTCTCAGGGAGTAAATCCTCCTTAAGTTCCTTGGCGACGTCCTTCAGGTCACCCAGGACTAATTCCAGATCCTGCACGATGATCTTGATCTGTTCTTTCACCTTGGTTTTGGAGGCTGCGGGTGGCCCTTTGGCTGAAGAGGACGAGGAGGGGGTCCCCTTGGACTTGGCTGACATTCTTTGGGGGCGAGCGAGGCAGGTCAGGACAGGCGAGCGAGGAAGGCTACTGCGTGTTCCCATCCCTGGCGCTGCTGCTGCCCCTGCCACTCCAGTCCCCCCACATCTTGGACGCTCCCTGGTCAGCAGCTGATGGCTGAGCTCCGCGTTATGCCCAGCAGATGCACGCTCGACGTGGGGCTTACATTACACTTTAATATCAAATAGAAACATGTTTTCAATAAATCAATTTTCATACATGAATCAAAGTACATTTTAAGATTCATATTTAAATCATTAAAATGGATAAATTTTAATTCCTAAAGAATTAAAGATACACATTATGTAAGATACAAAATAAAGAATAAGTAAAACCCCTAAAAAGATATTTAAATACAGAATTGTAATAAGCCTACATTTCATATATACCCACAAAAGCTAAATACTGTATTTATTACAAGCAATACTGAAATCATATTCCCAACTGTACTACATAAATATTATTTCTATTTTTCAAATGGTTCCTTTTAAAAGCTTATGTTATAAATTACAAAATATTTACTTTTCATTTTTAATAGTCTTATCAGTACTCTAAATATCCCCTTAAATGTGTGTATATATGTATACATATAAACATTCACACACACCCATGATTAACTTTAAATTCTCTAAATACATTAGTCAAAGCTATCTAATTATGAACTAAAATGTATCCAATACTGTATTTCAAAATTGTTATATATAGTTTTTCAATGATAAAAAAAACACTGTAGGGCATTTATTAGCAAATAAAAGCAATGGAAAATAATATGAATTCATAAAAAAATGAGTCTAAGCTTCTGCTTATCTGGTATCCAAACAATAGAAAGATTAGTATCCAATTATTTATATGATCATTGTAAGCATTCCAAGATTTTTATGTATTCTGTATGAATCAACATATAACAACTAAAACTGTTCATTATTGTTTTAGGATTATTTAAATATATGTGGCTATATTGAAATTCTTTAAGAAGATCCCTAACAAATAAGAAAAACCCCTAAAAAGCTATCATTTAAATTAGTTGGAACATGGCTGAACTACGGTGAAAAGCTCTTACAGACAACTTGAAGATCCCAACCAATTACTTACCAGCAAGAGATTGCTGCCATGCTAAAGCAGAACAAAGCAGGGCTAAACTTTTCCCACTTCCTGTAGGGCTCTCCAACAAACAGTGTTGCTTACTGTTTAGTCCTCTGACAATCTATTTACACAAAAACAATTTTTAAAAGCAATCAGAATTTTATTAGGCAATCTCTCAGAAGTACAAACAGAATATCAAAGAAAAGTGATGTTGCTTTCCAAGGAACACAGTAACATGAACAAAAAAACCTAGTATTTAGTTAAATCTAGACTTCATCCCTTTATGCCTCTCCTTAAAATTACATTGTGCTTAGCAGTACATAAGTATATGAGTGGGGAACGAAGGTTCCAACTGGTGGTTCTGACCCACGTTGTACATCCCTGTGGGAGAGAAGATGGCTGAGCAGGCCCCCAAATCCGTTCTGCTTGTATGCCTGGGTAACACTGTCGATCACCTATTGCAGAAGCAGTGTTCAGAAAACTTGAAACCGTTCAAAACATTTGAGATAAGTGGAGAACAGACAGTGCAGCAACATCCACACATGAAATAGGAAACCCTCCTGATTGTGGAGGACAAAATTGCATGAAGAAGTATGGCAACCCCATGAATCACATTGCCCGGCAGATTACCAAAGAGGACTTTGCCACATTTGATTATATTCTATGTATGAATGAAAGCAATCTCAGAGATCTGACTAGAAAAGGTAATCAAGTTAAAAACTGCAAAGCTAAAATTGAACTGCTTGGAAGCTCTGAGTCACAAAAACAACTCATTACTGAGGATCCCTATGATGGGAATGGCTGACTTTGAGACTGAGTACCAGCAGTATCTTAGGTGCCGCAAGGCATTTTTGGAGAGGGCAAGCTAAAGCTGCACCATTCACTGCGGCTAAAGGCCTGCTGTGATAAGCACCTTCCCCGCGATGCTCGGCAGTATCAGTCGGTGCCCATGTTAAAGTGTAGTCACGTTAGTTCCATAGCTGAGTCGCAGCTACTTCGTCAGTTGACCTACTGTTTCTTACGTGAAACATGATTGTAGATGGAAATCAGTTGTGATTGACAGAAGAATAGATAAGCATATGATTTATGGGGTACATTAAATCTTCTCAATTAGTTGAACTTCCCACTTACCCTCATTATAATCAAAGTAGTAAAACAACAAAATAGAAAATGTTGTGCATGTTTTGAAACAGGGTCATTTTCTGGTGTTTGCAGTTAAACATCTAAGAACTGCCATCACTTGGAATTGCTTAATTATGAATGATAATGAATAATGAAATAAAACATCACTTTAAGGTCCTGGCCAACAATCAGGCCAAAAAATAAAAAGAATTGGGGGAAAAAAAGAGAAAAGCAATCTATGCCTCATTATGCAAATACCCTAATTTTTACTAAATTGGGATATACTAATATCTATAAATAGCTCTGATGAAAACTTAATGGGAATGTAAGCTATCATAAGCACTCTGTTGCAAAATTAGCAATTTATAGTAAAATACAACATGGCCAACTTCAGCAAAATCCATCCTAGGAACATACTTGAAACTTGTTCCATGAACACAGAGACATGTAGTAGAAGTAGTAGTACAATGACAAAGCATTGTTTGTCATTGTAAAGGAGTGTAAACAACCTAAAATCCATCAATAGGGAGAAAAAAGACACAAAAATCCACTGCCAGTCTTTTCTGAAGCTACAAATCTTTATGGGAGCAGAAAGCCTCATCTTTCTCCATGAAGGGGCTTATGTATTTGAACAGCCAACTTTGTGCTTAGCAGTACA